TTGCAGAGATTCTGATGTGGTCCAGGGTGTGACCTGTGCACGAGTCTTTTTTTTTTTTTTAAGATTTATTTATTTATTTGAGAGTCAAAGTTACACAGAGAGAGAAGGAGAGGTAGAGAGAGAGAGGTCTTTCATCTGCTGGTTCACTCCCCAGTTGGCTGCAATGGCTGGAGCTGTGCTGACCCAAAGCCAGGAGCCAGGAGTCTCCCCCGGGGAGCCCACACAGGTGCAGGGGCCCAGAAACTTGGGCCATCTTCTACTGCTTTCCCAGGCCACAGCAGAGAGCTGAATCGGAGTGGAGCAGCTGGGACTTGAACCGGTGCCCACAGGGGATGCTGGCACTGCGGGTGGCAGGCAGCTTTACCCACTATGCCACAGCACTAGCCCCAACACTGAGGGTTTTTAAAAGCTCCCAGGCAGAAAGTCTGAGAACCTCTCTATGAAGTCTAAAGTACTCTTTAGTAAGGCACAGGGAGAAAGCAAATTGATTGGTGTTCCAGGACTTCATGTGATTAATTTCCTTTCAGAAGGACCCCATCCCCTTTCCCTAGGAGATCTGCCAAATAAGAACATTTTTAAGCTCTTATTTTAAAGGCAAACGCCTGTTTAACATCTGCATTCAGGAAGCTCTGTTGTCCAGTAGCTCAGAAATAGCCCCAAGAGAAAGAGCATTCATCTCCTAATCCTCTCCCCTACGCCTTCAACATGACCTTGGGAAATCTTTTCATGTTTACGTTTCTGTATTTTCTCATTTGCAAAACTTGGCTAATCCTACAAAGTGACCACAGGACTGGTGTATGGTCAGATGCAGCTTCAAAGACACTCCTGCGGCAGGTCTCCCAAGTTGTTCTGATTTGCTGACTAAGTTGTGACATTTATGCAAAGGGCTTACTTTGGAAAACCAGACACATTTAAACTATGGACGTCTACCTCCCTCTTTCAATGGTACCAATTGCTTTCCGTTCTATTCACGCAAAGTTTAGGCTTAATGTACCACCAGAGATGCAGAGAAATCAGCATGAGGGCGGAAATGATATTTTAAAAGCTGTGGCAAGAAGAATGCCTTTCGGGACTAGCTGTCTTCTTGATTCTCCCGGGGAAAGTCCACTGAACTTGAGGCTGGAGGTCAAGGGCACGAAAGGGGCTCAGCAGGCAGGGCTGGAGGGGGTGTTAGAGTCTGCCCTCTGCAACAGGATGAGACAGGGCTGTCCTAGAACAGTGGTTCTTCAAACATGCTATGTTCTAGAACCACCGGAAGCCAGGAGAACCAGGAGGGGGCCTGGGCCTTGCCAAGTACCCCTGCTAATTCTAATATGGACCAGAGTTTGAGAGCCATGTTCCTGTCCTATAATATTCAGTTTTTCCTTTGTGGTTTTCAGTTTAATATCTCCCCAAATATTTTCCTAAAGCCATGCAAAATTTGAAAATCTTTTCTGGTGGGTAAAACCCTTGTTGTTTCTGTTCATTTTCAAGTCATTCTTAATATGGGTGCAGAAGTCCTTACGAAACCAGATGGCGCAACCCTCCCAGAGAGGCAGAGTGGCAACAATAGAGAGGGTCAGCGTCCCCATGGTCCTGCTCATTCTCACCCAGCCTGGGAAGAGGGAGAGGGAGGGGGAAGAAGGCATTGGGCGCCTGGCTTATGCAGGTGGCCAGCACAGGGCGAGCCTGTCTGCGGCTGGCTCTCAAGAGGGTGGATATGTTGTCTGTTCCCACAGGGCCTCCCTGCAGGGTCTCTAAGGACACTGTTGTGACTTCTTGCCTTGGGCACAGCTGGCCAGGACCTGCTTTCCCATATGAGCACTGGTTTGAGTCCTGGCTGCTCCATTTCTGATCTAGCTCCCTGCTGATGGCCTGGGAAAGCAGTAGAAGATGGCCCAAGTGCTTGGGCTCCTGCACCAGCATGGTAGACCAGGATGGAGTTCCAAGCTCCTGGCTTTGGCCTTGTTGGCAGCCTTGGCTCACTTGTGGCCATACTGGAGAGTGAACCAGTAGATGGAAGATCTTTTCCTCTCTCTTTTTCTCTCTCTCTGTTAACTCTGCCTTTTGAATAATTTTTTTTTAAAAGGCTGTCAGCCCACACTTCTTCTGGACTATTCCTTAGCAGCTTTGTGAAATGGGCAGATCTAGAATACAGTAGGGGCTCAGAACTAAACACCTACAGAACAAATGAATGAAGTGGCAGAAAGATAAACACCAGGTAGCACTGAAGAGCCAGAGGCGGCCAGGAAACAGCAAGGCAAGGATACTGATGGGGAAACACAGGTGCAAATAAGGAAATAAATATGGAGTGAGTGACCCAAACGGCAGGAAAAGCCAGGAGCCCTGAGTGAGGGTGTGCGCAGTGGGGCCCACACAGTCCCTGAAACGGCCAGAGGGAACGTGACAAATGGCAGGAGAGCAGGGGAGACCCCTCAGGGGAGAGGAAGGCAGGAAAGCCGCCGAGAGAGCAGGCGGGAGAGGGACTGGGGGCAGCGAGGCCACCCCGCTCCCCGGCTGAGGACACACAGAGTGACTGCCCTTCGCAGGGACAGACTCAGGCCCGGGAGGCACAGTGGGCCGGGCAGTGGGGCCCCGCCACGGGTCACGGTGTTTCCTAGCACTGGGTGGTTTCCTAATCCTCCTTGTTCTGCACTGTCCTCCGCCCCACAGCCCCCACAGCCCCCACAGCCCCCACAGCCCCCACAGCCCCCACAGCCGGTGCCTCCCACGGCACACATCCCCTCCCGCAGCCCCAGACAGCCTCCTTGGCGGCCTGCCCGCCCGCCACATCCTGCCCTTCCCCCGCGCAGCGCAACTGCACCTCCAGGCATTTCCCTTCCCGACTCCCAGCGTGACACGGGCCCCCGGCCGGGCCGCCTTCCTGTCCCCGCGGAGCCCGGCTCTCCAGGGCCGCTGCCTGGTCCGAGAGGAGCCAAAAGGACGTGGAAACCTGGCGGAAGACTTCGAGGAGGGGGCCCCGGCTGTGTGTGGTGCGGGTTGTGTGCAGGACACGCAAGGCAAGCTTCTCTCACAAAGGACATCAGAGCTGAGTTTCCGAACATGAGCGGATGATCTCCCTGTCCTGGGTGTTTTCTTTTTTGGGGTAGGGGAGGGACAATGCGGGCGAGGCCTTCCAGGGGCTGGCATGGCCTTTGCAAAGCCGCAGGGCTGTGAGGAGTGAGTTCAGGGTACACTGGAGAGCCCAGGCTGAGAAGCAGTGAGTGGGGACCAGGAGGTGGGGGAGGAAGTCAGACTAGGCCAGGCTAAGGGCCAGGTGCCTGGTGTTAGGCAGGGCCAAGGAGCCTTGCACAGGAGAATGACTACTTTGGAGAGGTAGTGTTAGTCTTTGCTGTTTACATAGAGCCAATGAAGCTTCAGAGGGGCATTCATAAGTGACCTGTTTCATGGTCATTACAATGCGTGGAACCAGAACTCAACTCCTTTGTTCTGCCCCTCTGGTCTGGAGGACCCCTGTGAGGTGCTCCTTGCAAAATTTGCTGGGCCCCACTCACCACCCCCAAAAGTCCAAAGGACTCGACTCAGGCCAGAACAAGTATCCTGCTGGGTCCCTTACAGAGGGGATTTTAAAAAGCCGCTTTCCTCCATTGCTCAACTCAATGACTTCATTCACACCAGGTTCATCTCCAGAAAGCTCAGCGCCTGCTCCATGGGCATTTATGGACACTGATTTCCAGAAACATGTGTGCTGGTCATCAGCTGGCTGGGGGGAGGAGGAGGCTTCTCAGGCCTCTGAGGGAGCACAGGACCCTGTCAGTGCTGAGTCACGCGCTGGAATGGTGACTCCCTTAGTGTCAGGGCGCTCCTCCACTTAGGGCAACAAAATGGAATTTCTCCAACGGTTTTTCTGTTCCAGTCTCCCATATCCGGCTGAGATGACCACTAGGGAAATGGCCTCAGGGAGAAGAGAGACAGGGAAGAGCCCTGAAAACAGAAACCATGGGGCTACTCTTGGCAGTCCCTGGTGGGAGATACCCACCTGACGGGCTGTGTCTAGGATATGCCTTTGACTCCAACAGCCTGGAGCATTGCAGCGAACAGGGGACTGTGTGCTGTGAGCTGAGAGAGAGAGAGAAAGAGAGAGAGGCGTCCGAGGCCTCACTCTGCTGGAGTTTTACAAGAGAGCCACTTTGGGATAAGAGAGGATGTTTATGCTGCGTTCAGATTTGGCTTCATCTTGGCGGCATCCAGGCCACGGGTCGAGAGCTGTGTTTCAAGTTGACAGACTTGAGAAGAGTCTAGCCAAGGCTGGCTCATCAATGAGACACCCAAGGCCTTTCTTCAGAGAAGCCGATAAATTACTGTTATCGCTTTTGATAAGGCTGAGTCTCTTTGAAGTTTCTTTCAACAAAGATAATGTGAATAATAATGACTCTTTGCAAAATGTTCCTTCAGACATTCAAATTCCATCTCCTATTAATAAGTTTTTAAAAGATTGATTTAACATCTTCCTCTTCCTTCTACAGTAGCCTTATGAACATTTAAGTCCAGTGGCATTATATGGCTTAGTTTTAATACATAGATTTTTCCCAAGGTTGATTCCAGTTGCAAACCCCAGCACAGAACATCCCTATCCTTGGTTTCACCCTCACAGACTCTTTGGCAGTCTAGCGCCTCCTGCTGGTGACTACTCAGCTCTGCTTCTAACTTTACCACTCAGGGTCAACCAATTGATCCAGGTCTATGGATAATAAATTTGGATAATATTTTTATGTTTTCATATCTAATCCTGGGCCAGATAGCAAAGTTATTAATAATTTCTTCGATTAAGAAAAATATGCCAATGTGCCCCTTTTCTTTACTCAGTAAATCACAGCTTTTATGTCAAGAATCCTAAGTGCTAGTGATGCAGGTTGGGAGGGACAAGGCTTGGTGCAGTTTTCTGGGAAGCCCCATTAGGCATTTCTTTTGCTGTCTCTCACCATGTTCTTCCAGGTGACCTCTGTCCCTCTTCTTCACCCTCTCACGGAAGCATCATCGCTCTGCTAGGCCGCTGCTGCTACCGCTCTGAGGATGATGGTTCCAGCAATGGATGTCCTGACTGTCAAGCTCTCTCTATGCGTGGCCTCAGTTTTTCTTCTGGACAACCACGTAAGGCAGCCAATACCATTTTATCCCCAAGAAGCATACCCAGGGAAGGTAAGTACATTTTCCAGAATCACACAGCTCCCAAGTGGTAGAAACCAGACCTTGAGGACTTGAACTTGTCAGAAAGGACTTGAGGACTTGTCACAAAGGCAATATTGTAGCCATTAGAAAAATCCACAGTCGCTGGGTTCCAGTGTCATTATGACAAGGATGATGGGGGAAGTGCATGGTAGGAAGAGAAGGGCTAGGGAAGAGGCTGCCTATGGAAATATGAATACTGTGGTGAGCCAAGGTCTCAAGGAAATGTTTTGGCAAATTTGGCAGATCTGGCTAATGAACATTGATTCTGTCTAGTGTCCCTCATAAAAATCAACTGCCCATCACCCATCAAAAATAAATGGCTACTGATGACAAGAAGTGTGTCCCTGACCAGAGGGGCCACCAAAGACAAGGTTTGAGTCACAGAACTCTGTCCTCGTCCGCTTTTCTGGCCTCAGTTTCTCAGCTGTCGAGTGTGGAGAAGAAAACTTGCTATTTGTCAAATTTATGTTTATTTGAGAATGGACAAAACACTCTAACAAAACTTCCTTTTGTGGTAAATTCTAATCACCAATTTAATCAGATTATGATTGCATTGTTTTTCTTTGTGTTGTATGACTTGAAAATCATAAAATGGAATTCCTTAAAAAAATCGTAAAATGTGAGATTCTTACAAATGTGGACATGATTTCCCTTATTATTCCAATCCAACTGACCTCGTCCTGCCCTGAGCAGACTCCACTGCACCTGACAGGTATCGCCAGGGAGGCTGGAGGAAGCCCTGGTGGGTCCCCTCTACAGGAAAGCAAGGGTTTGTTGGTAGAAGGCTGAGGGGTCTCCAGATGACCTGGTCCCCTTCTGCCCCCTCTCTAGCACCCACTTACCTCCCAGCTGCCACAGGAAGCAACTAAAATCTGTACCATGAGCCTGCCTACTTCCCAGTTTTCCATCTCCTCTCTCAAACAAGGATAGCGTTTGAATCTGAGCCCTGGAATTGTTGTGATAGTGAAACGAGATGAGGCATCGAAAGTGTTGTGTATTGTGCCTGTCATGCTGTAAGCACTAAATAGTTAACTGTTATTATATTTTTAAAAACATTTCTCTACTTTAGTTTCTTTTCTTTTCTTTTTTTTTAAAAAGATTTCTGTATTTATTTGAAAGTCAGAGTTACACAGAGAGGGAAGGAGAGACAGAGAGAGGTCTTCCATCCACTGGTTCACTCCCCAGTTGGCCGCAATGGCCAAAATTGTGCCGATCTGAAGCCAGGAGCCAGGTGCTTCCTCTGGGTCTCCATGTGGGTGTAAGGGCCCAAGGACTTGGACCATCTTCCACTGATTTTCCAGGCCATAGCATAGAGCTGGATCAGAAGTGGAGCAGCCAGGACGTGAAACGGCACCCATATGGGATGCTGGCACTGCAGGTGGTGGCTTTACCCGCTATGCCACAGTGCCGGCCCCTCTCTACTTTAAGTTTCATGAAGTCTAGGTTAGTGGCTTTTTTTGTTGTTTGTTTGTTTGTTTTTTATGAATCCCCAGAACCTAGAGGTTGGAATACAGCACAAGTTCCATCAGTATCTGACAAGCAGGTGCAATTGTGGGGCTGGCATTGTAGTGCAGCAGGTAAAGCTGCCGCCTGCAATGCCAGCATCCCATATGGATGCTGTTTTGTGTTCTGGCTGTTCCACCTCCAATTCAGCTCCCTGCTAATGGCCTGGGAAAAGTAGAGAAGGATAGCCCAAGTGTTTGAGCCCCTGCCATCCACGTAGGAGACCTGGAAAAAGCTCCTGGCTCCTGGTTTTGGCCTGGCCCAGCCTCAGCCATTGTGATCATCTGGGAACTGCACCAGCATATGGAAGATGTCTCTCTCTGTCTCTCCCTGTCTCTCCCTCTCTCTCTGTAACTCTGCCTTTCAAACAAATAGATAAATCTTTAAAAAGAAAACAAAACCAGTGCAGTTGGCTCTCTCTATCCATGGGTTCTGCATCCTTGGATTCAATCAATTGTGGATTGAAAATATTTGGAAAAAAAACTGAGTCTGTATTGAGTATATACTTTAGTCCTTAAACAATGCAGCATAACAAATATTTACATAACACTTACATAGTATTAAATATGAAACATAATCTTGATTGTGATTTATAGTATGAGGGTACTTCAAAACGTTTGTGGAAAAAGGGATTAAAAGCTACATTCATTTTGGTGCAAAAAAGTTGAAATCTCTGCATATGAAGGATCTTCAAAAATTTCATGAAAATATGCATTATGAAAAATATGCAAGGATTTCAAAGTAAACATCTTTTGATTCTAGCTTCTTATAAACGTTTTGAAGTACCTTCAGATATAGGAAGATGCATGTGCAAGTACTGTGCTATTTTATATAAGGGACTTGAGCAGCTGAAGATTTGGGTATCCATGGGGTCCTGGAACCAAAGCTCCATGGATACCCCAGGGACCACTGTTTATAAAACCTGGCAGAGGTCACTGGCGTCATCTTCCTGGGATCCTGCCATGGCCTGACCTCCCCACTTGCCCCCTTGCCTCAACACAACTCTCCACAATTCAGCCAGTGATGATTCTCAATGATAAGCATTATGCACACAGTCTCCTTAGCATAAAACTCAGCTCTGGGACATGGTGAACGTGGCCCTTGCCCTGTCTGATGTCTGCACTTGCTCAGCCCTGTTTCCCTGCGTCAGGCCTCTCACAAACACGGCCAAGTCCTTCTTCCTCCTCTCTCGTTATGGTTTCCTCTCTCGTTAGGTCTGTGCACCCTTCAGGTCTCAGCAGAAATCTCATTTCGGCAGGGAGGGCCTTTCCCACTCTCTGTCCAGTCATACTGACCCGTCTCCTGTCTCTGTCCTCTTCCGCGGGGCTGACGGCTTCACTGTCTCTTCTAACATAGAGGTGGCTCATCGTGTGGCTGCCTGTAGCTCCCAAGAGATTGCGGACAACTCTTCCCAGCTCTGTACTCAGTGACCTCACTTTGGTAGACTGACATCAGCGATGGGGGAGTATTTATACTGTGGAAATTGGCATATATATAAAGTGGTTTTTCCTTTTTTATTTTTCGCCAGATAGCTGGTTGCTAAACGTTTATCAGAGCACCACTGATTAGTCCCTCAAGAGCCAGGAGGTGTGTCTGTCTCACAGAGCCTGGCTTCTAACAGATTGCTAGAAGTGCTTATGGAAATGAATCAAGCTAAGTGAAAGCTTCCAGTGGGGCCATATGGAACCGTGCACCGTGTACACGTGATCTCTCATCTGGACAATGACCTCTGGAGGTTAGTATTGCTTCCCTTATTTTTCAATTCAGGAAATTTAAGCTCAGCAAGGTCTAGCGACGCGCCCAGGTCACAGAGTGAGTGAGCTGAAGATGCCCTGTGCCTGCACACTGGGGCCCAGCACCAGCCTGCTGCCTTCTGTTTTTGGAGTTCTGCACCCACAAGTTTCCAATCTGACTTGACCTCTGAATGTGACCCATTGCCTGCCTGTTGCCTTGCTAACCGATTCTGCTGGCTCACTTGCCTGGTCCCTGGTTGGCCGTCCCCCGCCCTCTGCCTAGACCAAGGACTCCAACGGTGTCTGGGTGGGCCTTGCATTGAGAAAGCTTATGTGGCCCATGAGGCCCAGCATAACAGACATGGGCTAGGGAGGTTCCACAGCCCCATACCTGTGACTTTGTAGTAGAAAAGCTTAACACATCCCAGTTTGTTTAGCCCTCTCCTGATTTTAGCACTGATAGAAGATTCTTGGGAATTCCTACAGTCTTGGGCACACTGGAAGGGTGGTTTCCCCTACATGGTCACAAGACTCCGGAGCCCAGCAACCTGAGGCTATCAGAAGAAAGAAATCCCGGAAGGACAAGCGAAATCACTGCATCAGCCACTCAGTTACTCCTTTGGGTCAGCAGGTGTCCGACTCTTGCCTCACTCTGCCCGCTGACTCTGCGTGGATCTGTCTGCCTGTCTTGGTGAGTGGCCAGGACCACAAGCAAGCAATTTAATTTCTCTAAGCCTCTGTTGACCTATCTACAAAATGGAAATAATGAGGACCAACTACATAAGTTAGGGGGCTCGGTGTAAAATAAAAGTGTAGAGTCTTTGTTTAAAAATGATTAAGGATTCCAAGATGGCTACAAAACATTCAAGCCCCTGAATGGTACAGTCTGTGTTTTCACAGTCTCATGGCCATGAAGCTGGCCCTGGAGGAGCACGGGTTGAAGGCTGCAAGCCTCAACAATACAGAGTACAGTGCCCGGCCCAGGGACACATTTAGAATGTGGAGGCGACTCTGAGGTCTAGGCTGGCTTCCCCCTTCTTTCAGGATGGACACCTGTATTATTTTTTACCTTGACACCAAGGTGTATTGAGTGATCTTTTGTGAGTCACTTCAGCTTCTCCAGGCTCAGATTTTTCCTTCTATAAACACGAGGATCACAGGAAATCTCTGAAGAGCTTATCAGCTCTAAATCCGTTTCGGCCAACTCCATGACATTTATACACGGGAGCAGAGTCTTAATGCTCTTTGGAAAGCAGTTTCTCCTCTCTGGGCTTGCTGAGATGCTATTTGGACTTCCAGTTCCATTCATATCAAAGGAGGTCTGCCTCCACCCCTGAATATATGAATCAAGATTATTTTAAAGTTCTTCTAATTCAAAGGTCAACCCATTTTACGTATGAGCAGTGTACAGCTTGGGAAGCTTTCATGACTTGCCTAGGGCCATAGAACGAGATGGGAGGTGGTGGGGATGAAAGCCAGGTGCCCTACACTGTTACCTGGTTTCTCTTCTGTTGAAGGAAACACAAGGGTTACCTTTCTGGTTGTACTTTGCAATTATTCTTTCTCATAAAAAATGAAGAAGAAATAGAAAAGCCGGAGAACAGTTTTCGTTTAGGCCCACCCAATGATTTCTACCAAGGATGTTCCCATTTTTCTCAAGCCCTGTACACCTGACCTGGGCTGGGTTTCATGATTTCGCTGCTGTTTTTCTTTAGTGCAGATAAGGGTTTCCTCTCTTCCCGGCTGAGTGTAGGATTTCCAGACTCTTTCTTCTCACGTTTCTGGACTCCAGGGTGCATAAGCAGATGGTCCTTTAAAAGAACATTTTCTTAACCTCTTGTTTCCCTCTATTTCAAATGGTCTTCGGGGGATATCTAGTCATCCCTTTAAAAGACAAGGTTGAAAAGAGGAAAGAATGTTCTCAGCCATCCCCTGGGTCTGGGCCACGTGAATTCCCACGAGGCCTCTGCATGGGGCATCTGGTTATGTTCCTGCCTGGTGCTTGGAAATTTTTGAGCTTTTCCCAAGGGTGGGAGTTGGGGGCTGGGGTGAGGGGTGGCTCCTTTTCTTCTCTGGAAATCCTGTTGCTTCCTAAATCATGTCCATCCCTGTCAGTGGCTGGGCCACAGGTCCTGCAAACCTTCTCAGTAATTTGTTTTTAAATTTAGGGCTGTGCTGGCACAGAGCCAGCCAAAATTGCATGAAGCTTGCGTACTGGGAGTAAGCCTGCAACTGTCCAGTGTTTAGGCTTGCTCTCCCCTTAGTTTAATCTAACACTCTGCTGCTGCCATGCTGGGGCCGGAGTCAGCTGGACAGGATGTTTGGTGCCGCCCTCAGCATCCACTGGTATCTAGGGCAACATGCCATTTCCTACCTCGCAAGCAGCTCAGAATGGAAGCCCAAAGGCTCGAAGTCACAGGAATTGTGATTTGCTAACAAGTTTGAGTCTGGCTGGGAGGGAGGTTTGTAAACCAAGAACGGTTGCCAGTGGGCACTTTCTTCCTTTTCCACAGGGCTGTGCAATCATCTCCTTCCTAGAAGAAAGTCACGAAAGTCTGGGACTGTATGACTTTTCAGCTGGTATCAGGCCAGCCTGAGAGCTGAGACGCTTGGAGTGAAATGTGGGGGCGTGTGGCCTTACTAAACAAAACCAGAAAGTCTTACACTTGTTTTTTTTTAATCTCGATTTGGAATCTACGTTTGTACCCGTTTCAGAAATGGAGACTTGCTGCTTCCTGCCCACCCTCCTGGTAGAAGGAAGGCACTCCCTGGCAGAACTTTGGTCCAACCTTGCAAAGGATGTGCGGGTAGGTTGGCGCAGATGCCAGGGGACTAAGAAAAGCAGTGGGCACAATGGGGTGTGTGCCTGGGGGGCAGTGAAGGACTTGGCGTATCTAGTAGAGTTTGTGTCCTGGGCTCCTTCCACGCTCACAAAATTCTGAAAACCCCCCAAAAGTACAGGTGCGGAGAATTTTCATGGTCAGAAAATCAGAAGGAAAATTTAAGTGCTAGAAAAAATATTCTGGGCCTCCAATCCTTCAAAGCTAAGCACGTCCTTGAGTCAGAATGGATTGTTTATCTGGGGGAGGATGTCGGATGTCCTCAGGCCTCTCCGTTTAGAGAACAGGAAATGGGCGCCCCCAAAGGTCAAGTGAGTTGCCCAAGGTTGTCAAAGGGAAGAACTCTGTGTAAACAACTTAATTTCCAGGGAACCCTTCCCAGCCAGTTCAGCTAAGACCAAAACTGACCTCTCACCCTACACAGTCAGTGGGAGGTGGTGGTCTCTCCTTTAAGAGCAAGTCTGTTGTACACTCATTGACCCCCGGTCGACTGCCTTGTCTCTAGAGGGAACCCCTCTTACCTGCCCAGCCCCTGTCTCTGATACAGGAGGGTTAACAGTTTAGCAATAAAGGGAGCAATGTCTCAGAAGTAGAAAAGATGGTGAAATAGCTCTGAGAGCCAGAAAGTAAATATGCCTGATACTCCACATTTTGATCATTTGGTTCTGTATAAGGAAAGCAGAGATCTTACACAGCTGGTGAAGTGACATGACACATTACTTGGGTAGGAGATTGGAAAGATTCTCCTTTAATAAATAAATGTACCTGCCTTCCCTCTTCTGGTTAGTTGGGAAATTAAATGGAATCAAAACATTTAAATGTCACACAATTATCTTCAATTTGAATGAGTTTATAGACTCTTCAATCATATCATCTCTCCCTTTCTGTCTTCTCTCCCTCTCATATGTTCTAAGTCTTTATTGTGAGGCAGGTGTTTCCACCAATACAAAGAAATTAAAGCATGGGAAAACATGATTCGCTCAATTAAGTCAAGCTTAACTGGCAGACAAGAGGCTTAGGTCCTGGACTTCTATTTCAATTCAAACTCTCTGTCTGCCACATGTAACTCGAGTTTTCCAGGTTAGGAAAGAGCCGACTTCTCTCCTGGACAGGTTGGGTGTCTCAGTGATCAATAACTATACCTTTTACCTTGGGGAACAAGACAGCAGGCGTGGGGAAGATTAGGACCAAGCACAGTTGTGTTAGAAGCAGGTGATATGCCACATCTTGTTATAGAAAATAAAAATGCCAGGAGAAGAAGTTTCCTTAGGATGTACATCTGACAGGGCTGACAGCAGTGGGGACAGAAACTACCTTCTGAATGCTGTCTGGTCTCTGCCCATTACTCTGGCTGCTTGTGCTCCCATGAGTACCAAGCACCGAGTCTAAACACTGAGTGAAGGGTGAGCCCTGCCAGTCCGTAGTTGAGTTTCTCTGAGAACTTCCTAAGGTCAGCCTTAGAAAATAGTCTGAAAATGCTTGCTTACCTACCCAATGGGGGAAAATTTAAATGAGTGGATCCTTTTGAGAGACAGAAACATTCTATTTGTCTAAGAGAGGAAGACACAGAGCATGAAACTCCTCTTTTCAAGAAGAACGAGCCAGAATGCTGACAATGTTGTCTGTTATATCTTTAAGTTACAGGGAATTGAAACAACCCAGAAAAATAATTGCCCTCCCACAATGTCAGAGGATATGGTTTAACCTACTTCTGTCATTTGCTCAACAAAAACTGCAGTGTGTGTATATGCGTTACGTGCTTGAAAATGCATTGCCACCAGGTTCAAACCAAGAGCACCTCCAAGGGTCAGGAATAAACTTTGGAGGGAAAACAGATGTGTTCCAACAGTTGACCCTGACTGCAAGGTCATGACAGCACCTCAGCAGAAGGCCTGGGCTCGCTGTTTTCAGAGGCTGAGCGAGGCTATGGAAGAGCCTCTTTTCAAATCCATTCTGGTTTCTCTGAGTCCATCCCAAAAGAGGGAAGCAGGGGAGCTGCCTGAGGTCACACCAGGTCAGTGGGCATGGTCTTTCCAAATGGGACACTGGCTCTTAGGCCGGAGGGGGAGCTAGGACTCAACAGAGTCATCTGCTGTGTCCCGCCTTTCTTCCTTCAGCCAACTCGTTCACTGGGGTGGCGTTCCCAATGTATGGGGAGGTCGTCTCTCAAGGTGGAGTTCAAGGTGGAGTCCTTTGTGTTGCAGTGCTTGGTGACCACGTCATCTTCCTACAGCACAGCTGGTCACTATTTCCCAACACTGCCAGTGCCTCACACCTTGCTTGTTCAGACCAAGACGGCAGCCTCCAGGAGGATCCCCACCTCATGTCGCAGACTCACAGGGCTTCCCCTGTCACCCTCCCTGCCCCGAGCGCCAGCTCTTCTTCAAACCTACACCTCATCTCCTTCCAAATACCCTCCTCTTCAGGCCACTGGGCAAGAGAGCTAACTTACTCCTCTTGGGAGACTTGGATGACGCTGTATTACTACGCAAGATGCAGAAGCCAGGCTGAGACAGTTCAAACTTCAACAACAAAGAATGGAGTTTGTGGATTTTCCACTGTGGACCAGGTACCACGCCAAGCACTTTCACATGGGCCACGCGGTTAACCCCATGAGCGGCCTTCGAGGTAGCTTTGCCTGTAGCGTTTTTGTGGTGGAGGAAATGGACTGTGGGTTCTGCTGTCCGTGGGAGAAGTGCAGTTCAGAGTCTTGCTGATGGCATAGCTCTATACCACCTCATGGCTGCCCACAGGGGATGGGCTCCTGAGACGGGAAGAGTTCCACCCTACGGTCAAGAGCTCTCATCCCTGGCTTTCTGTCTTTGCCCCCCTATAGTCAGAGAAACACAGCTCCACGAATTCACCAAACACACCCAGCTGATTTTTTGGTGATTGGCAAAAGTCATCTAAGCTCCTTCCTGCAGTCACCATGGTCAGAAACAATGTCCTCTCCCTCACTGGATTTCCAGCACTGCCTTTTTGGTCCTAAATGTTTTCATGCTCCACTGCCAGAGCGTCATTCTCTTTTTTCCTTGACTTCTCCCAAAACGCTCCAAAGTGTTAGCACCATGTTGCAGAGATGTAGAGACACCCAGGTCCTGCGAGCAATGGAGGAGTGGAACTCACTATCTTTTGATCTCTTAGCTTTTGGAAATGCCCGAGTCCTCCCACTTCTACCTTCCAGAGAGAGGCCGGGCGGCTTGTGTCTCTCTCTCCTCCCATCCCAGGGAATGGCTCTGTGTGGGATGCGGGCTTTGGAAGTGGGGCAGCTGTTCATGGCAACTGTTTGCAGCTCAGAGCAGGGGGCAGTGGGGCACTTTCCACCTTGATCCCACGCAGGGCAGAACCAGCTTTCAGGGAGCTGGGCCCAGGCCCAGAGCTGACCACACCGCCCACCCACGGCTGCCTCTCCAGGGGACAGCAGGGGAGAGCAGCAGGTGTGGGGTGAAGCGGGAGCTCAGCAACGCCCCCTCTGAGCTCCCAGTGTGCCTGTGCCCACCTGGCACAGCACTTAGCTCTCTGCCTTCCAATTTCTTAAGCCTCTGTCTCCCCCACTGCATTGTGAGTGGCTTGAGAGTAGAGTCCGCATTTTCTTATCTCCAGCTTGGAGGACAGCACTTTGCCTGCACGTAGTAACTGCACACTACGGCTGGGATGGACCAATGGGAGGGGAAACATTGGTATTTTATGTGGATGTTGTTCTTGGCTGCTGAGGTCACAGACTGCTGTCTCTCATCAGAGGTCAGGATCCTGCACTCCTCTCTGCTCATGAACCTCCCCACACACTGTGCTGACTCCTCTTCCTCTGGCCTGCCCACCCCTGCAGAGGGCAGACCCCAGGGAAGAGCCCTCAGGAACTGGGCTAACAGAGCCATGCGCTGCGCATGCTAAGTCGGTTTGGGCCAGGGAGAGGATGGTTTGAATGATACTGTTCTTGGGTTGGAAGGGGGACTGTGGGAGTGACACAGAGCAGCTGTTTCCACTTAAAATTGATTAGCAAGTATCGCTACAAATGAACTTGGAATTTAAAACAAAACTCCATGGAAACCAATCTTTCTAAATCATTCTCAACTGGTGGAGAGAAAGAAGTTTCTCTAGCTGACACCAAAAAAGGTCTCCTTTGGCCCTGTGCTTCCCTGCTGGCCTGCCTGCATCACCGAGATGGAACAGAGCCTCATTCTCCCCGGCTGGCTGCGTGTCGCCCACGGTAACTGGCCCCATGCTGATGCCCAGTGCTGTCCACAGAGCTGCGAGTGAAATTCCACCTGAACAGAGGCATCCAGGCCAGCTCCACTCCACGTTGGGGCGAGAGCCACACTCTTGGTGATTGATCTCGGAGCTGCCCCTGGCACTCTTAGAGCGCGCCTAGCACTGCACTGCACAGTGAGTATCGGCGGGCCAGTGGGCAGTGCTGCTCCCCATAACCCCTCCACACCTGGGTGTGAAACACAGAACAACTTGGCATGATTTCCACAATGTTCTCATTAGAGAGTTAAGAGTCCAATTTGCAGAAACAAATAACCCACGGTGTGATCCTTGAGAAAATTTCGGAGAGTTCTGTGGTTATTAATGGCCATACAGTTGGGCAGTCGTAGAAGAAAGCCTGATAGGGGAAGTAAATCAAATAAAGAAAATCAATTTTTGAGGATAAATTAAATTTAAAATGCGTCAGCTGTAGGCCCCGACAAAGACAAGCTGTAGTACATCTCTGGCCATCTAACTAATGGAAGTCACATTGTATTCCCATTACACTGGGCGCACATTACCCAGCTCTGATCTCTCTAAAATTAGATCTTTGCAGAGATAGAGTTGGCTCATCCTGACAGAGCTGAGGGGTGGCCAGGACCTCTGATGGCAACACGCTCTGTGCGGGTGAATTCTGTTCTGTGCTGCTCTGGGAAGCATTCTGTGTGTCTGGGGAGCTGCTGTACGTGGCGATGATGGGACAGAGGCCAGTGGCCCGCTTCTCCTTCCTCCACTGCTCAGCACACAGCAGGTCCTGGCCAGACCTCCCATCACCAAGAACTAGAAGATGCCACTTAGCCACTTTCCTGACTTTAACCCCCTGTGACAGGACCATGGTCCAGGAACAGAAACATAGAGGCTTGCTCGTCCTCAAGGGAATTTAGTGACACTTCCAGTTGGTATGATTTTAGATTTCACGTTATTCTCTTTAATTAGAAGAATTCCCGTTTGGGCAAAGTTAAAAGAAGCTCAGTGTCTCATGTTTCCCTGGGGTAACGCTAACACGTGGATGGGTTGTGTAACGGCAGTGTGAACACAATCCCATGGGGCACAGCTCCAGGGAAAATGGAGGATCAGCTGCATGCGGCGAGCTCTTCAAACAGCAGCCAGGAAGGACTTGGAGCCGGCAGAAAGAAGTCAGGAGGCAGACAGGGAAGGGGTGGCAGTAAGAGCGCCATCTACAGGGATCTGGGATGTGCATCTGGATTTCCGAACAGACAGGTGGGGTGCTCCCTACCTGAAGCTGCATCATTGAGGATGGGAAATTGGAGGGTTCAAAGCTAAGACAGGAGGAAGAAGGGCTTTGGCGTTGAAGCCACCTAGGCAGAAGCTGTCCTCACATCTCTAGCCACTGAAGAGCACTCACCACTCACAAGACCACGGATTTGGCCACGCAGGCAAAAGGTGCTGCCAGTGTGAGTTCATTTTTCACAGCTCTACCCAACATTGATGATGTGTACTTACTACGTGCCAAGTTTGCTGCGGGAAGAAGATATAGCTGTAATTATGACATGGTCCTTACCCTCAGACTTGGTCTTGTTCTAGTGAGGGAGACAGAAAGCAAGAAGACATCAACTTCTTGTGCCCCGTGTTCTGAGAGCTGAGTGGCCAGCTCCGTGAGCCAGGACTGGCAGTTACTACCATATTTGGTGACAAAAGACCTCTGTATGGCAGGGCTTCCCACAAGGGCTTGTTACCACCAAGTGCCAGGCAGGCAGTGTTGCAGGAAGAGAATTACCCCGGGAAGTGCTTTTAAGAATACACAGATACTAACAAACCATGGTGACACTGGGAAAATAAATACCTTGTTAGTTCCACATCAGGCAGAGGCAACATCCAGACATCCAGATGTCAGGATCCTGCACCGCTCTCTGCTCATGAACCTCCCCACACACTGTGCCCACCCCTCTTCCTCTGACTCTGGACACTTGATAAACCCTCACCAACCAGTATGGAACTAATACAGGGCAGTGGGGAAATGCACCCCGCTGGGAATGGACACACCTGGGAAGGCAAAGAGAAGTCTGGTATGGTGACACTACGAAGAGCAAAGTCAGATTGAGCGCTTAATGCGTTTTGTAAGTTATTGCACTTCATTCTTCCAAGAAGCTACTGATCCTAGCTGGGGCTGTGGGGAGGATTAAACAAGCCAGTATTTGTGAAGTGCCAGGAATAGGCCTGAAATGCAGCCAGCACTTAATAATCGTTAACCATTATCACAAACACAGATTAATCTCTACTGCAGACCCCTTCCAAGAAAAAACAAATGATCTCTCCTCAAATAGCCAACCTAGTGTAGACCCCTTCGTGATTAAAGGCACTCATTATCTGCCTCTAAAGGGGACAAGAAATGAGGCAGGAATAGCCAGCTCCCTCTGTCTGGCCAGACATCAGGCCTGTCTAGAAAACAGAGCTTAGTCAGTGTGGCTGGGGCAGCCCTCTGCGGATTCAGGCTCCTGCCCAAGGAGGCCACTGCTCCTGTAGAGCATGGTGACAGCTCCCAGGAGCCCAGAGCTAAAAAGAACTTCTGCTGCCTTCGGGGCTGGATGGCTCAGGGTTACTGAAATTAGAAGACTTTCCCCAATCGTGTTCCTCTTCATCCTCCTGCTCTAGGAGGTGTGAGGTCGTGAGAGGAGGTGACAGGAGGTGTGAGGTCGTGAGAGGAGGTGACAGATGAGAGTGGGTGAGCTACACTTCCCACTACTTTTTTCTTTCCCCAAGATGTGGGCCATCTGCCCACTGGGGTAAGCAGTCATCGATTTTCTTCTAAAGCAAGCAAGCAGTGTGTGCAAGTTTTATTATTTATTTTGAAGATTTGAAGTGTTCTATGTTCCATTTCTTTCCTTCTCCCAGCATCCCAATCTCTTTACAGAGCTTTGCCACCCAATGGGATTTCTAGAAGATTGTACAACCACCAGCAGCGGGGCTGAATGTGGATGCATAGTCTTCTTTTTCTTTTTATTATTTCTCAGACAACCTACAACCAAAGCCATACCTCCAGTTGTTTCACCATTGACTAAGAAATGCTCTTAAGTGCATTTTACCCTTCTTCCAACAAATAAAGCCTGGGCTATTTGAAAAGGAAGATGAAAATAAAGCACACTAGGAACAAGTGATTATTCATGCCATGTGTAAAATAAGAAAGAGAAGCAGGGATTTCTGTGATATTTCTTAGAGGGCCTCTGTATGCAATGAACCTTGTGAAGAAAACCTGAGAGAAATGTTATCAGAGGCATTTTTCTCATGAAGAAGCAAAAAGTGATTTGCTTGTTCAGATGTACCATGCGGTCAGGCAGAATTGGTAGCTATATACAGCCCTCACAATTAGTCAGCAAAAATGGCGTTGCCAACTGCCCAGAGCATGAAGTGACCCGAATTAACCAAAGCAACTTGTGGGTCATAGACTCTTAGGCTTCCTAGAGTCATCGTGCCCCCCCACCTCCCGCCCTTCCTGTTCTCCCCGACATAGGGTGGGTCTCGGTTGCCACTCCTGGTCAGTACTCAGCCTCAGTACTGAATTCAGTTACCTGCCTGACGGTAAGGATCTCCTGTCTACTCAAGAGCAGAGGTCGCCTGGGGCCCTAATACTAGTTGCATGGGACAGAGACCGGACAAAGGAAGTCAGAGATGAGAGATGCTAACGTGAATTGAAGTCTTTTGGGGAGAGATGGGCTTGAGTTTGGCCTTGTAAGAGGAATTCTTGCAAGAAGGCAAGGAAAGTGGAAAGGTAACAGAGGAGGCACAGAGCGTGACCACGCTAAATAAAGGAGCTGGTCAAGTAAGGTTGGGTTTATCTTCTGATGTCATTGTTGCCAGCCCTAGTTTTTTGGGAAAGTCTCTTATACTGACCTCTAGTTCTCACAATAAATAACATTGACTTCTTGTAATAAATACGTGTGAAGCTAAAAAAAAAAAAAAAAGAAAAAAATGAAACCTCAACCACAGACTTTGTAAAGACAATAGAAAGGGCACTGATTTGGCCTCTTGGAGTAGCACTTAAAAAAATGGGAGCTCATTCATTGCCAACCTGATCAATGACCAGGGACTAGGTCTATAACTTTGCCCCTGGTACCTGCATGGACAGAGAAACTCCCTCAATACCAACTCGGAGGGACGATGGCCCTCAAGGTAGGCCCTGGGCAGAGTACAGAGAAGCTGCACGGATTTCCCCCTGCGGTGTTGTTTCATGTTTCCCCGCCTGCACATAGTAGTTAATGAGAGGTACAGGCCCACAGGATGTGGGGCTGTTTAATTAGTGGATGTTTGTCAAGGGCTTTGAAGATCCGAGCTCTACCTACTGTAAAAGCTCACTGTTTCTGAGAAGTCAAGTCCCTTAGGAGAAGAGGATGCTTGGCAGGGCAGCGGCACCTCTCTACCTGATGGGATGGGGCCTTCCTTCTGCACTTGTCTCTCAGTAGAAGGAGATTTGCTTAGCAGGAAATGTATCTCTGGAAACCGCCTCTGGAGTTCAGCCAAGGGGGTACAACTCCCAGTGTAGTACCATCATTTGTGCATTCCCTGGCTGACACTTGCAGTCTGTGGGAAGTCACAGATCTCTAACAGGTAGACACACCAGGGGAGGGCTATGTGGGGAGGTGATGGAGCAGTGACAATTTCTTCTGAAATTGGACTCTTAAGCATCTCTTAACATCTCCCAGGCTATCAGCGCAAAATGGTGGCTGGGAGAGTGGAAGACCTAGGGGGAAACACCTTCCGTTCTGTGTTCCTATTTTCCTGACTCTGAAATGGGGGTGGTATTCTTGGCTGTCCCTTTGCATCCCTGACTTGTTGCAGGGGCTGTGCTGTCACCCCCGTCCACTGCTTTGAGATCCAGGTACGGATGCATTATTTGCTTGTTGGAGATCACTCAGATTGGTCTCCTGCCAGCAGCACGGGTGACAGTTATCCCCACCCTCTAAAGCTGTTTTGCTTGTGTTTGTTCACAGTCTGTCTCTCCACTGCACCTTGGGCTTCCTGAGGGCAGGCACTTTGTCCATTCTTAGTCACGATGGTGCCCTCAGTGCCTTGGATTGACCCTGTATAAGGTGGCTGCTCAACAAATACTGACTGGCAGAATTACTCTCTGTCTTCTGTACACTACCACTCCATTGACGACAAATTCCTGTTCAGAAGAGGATATTTCTGAATCTTCTGCATTGTGGGCTGAACCACATTCCCCCAAAAGGTATGTCAAGTCCTAACCCCAACGCCTGTGAACGTGACCTTATTTGGAAACAGTCTTTGCAGATGCAATCCAGTTAAGCTAAGGTTATACGGGATTAAGGTGGGTCCTCAATCAAATATGTCACGTCTTTATAAGAAGGGCAAAACTTGTACCTAGAGACACAGACACGCAGGGGAGGATGTGGGGGGAGACAAAGGCAGATATTAGAGCAACACATTTGCCAGTCCAGGAATGCCAAGAATTGCTGCAACCCACACATGCTAGGAGAGACCAGGGAAGATTCTTCCTTAGAGCTCCCGGGGGAGTGCGGCCCTGCTGACGCCTTCACTACAAACCTCAGCCTTGGGAACGCCGAGGGGAGAGATTTCTGTTAGGCTTGCACAGGTGCTTGGTTAGGATAACCCTAAGGAACTGCTGCACAGAAACCATTTCCCCTTCCCCTTCCCCTCCTCTCTTGTTGGTTCTGTTTCTCTGAAGACCCTTGAGTGATGCAACCAGGTGCTCCTTGTGGGAAGGACACTGTCACCCTGCTCTCCCCGACTGTGGCTTTGCAGGACAAGCCGCATCTGACTACAGGTTCCCAGGGTCATGGTTCTGCTTTCTACACCACATGTACAAATCAGTCCATAAGGCTCCTTTGTCTTCACTAAGGGTGAGGACGTTGTGGGCAGGAACACTTGGCTGAGTATCACAGACACTCCTAGAGGGACTTGACCAATCCGAAGGATGGGATCCTTGGAGCTGTGGGGATTTCAGAGCTTCAGACCCCATGCTGGTCAGTACTGTCAGTAGCAGCCTCCAAAGGGACAGCTACAGACTCTTTCTTGGTTCTTTATCATTTATCTGTGGGTCCTGCAGACTTGGCCACTGCCCGTAAGATCAGCTCAGGGCCAACACAGAGGAGTGTGTGTCAATCATTGCTTGTTCACATTCTGCCAGGTATGGACATGCCCTCAACAAACACTTAGGTATCATACTGTGCTCTGGTTTAACGTATGGTTTGTATCTATTTATGATTGAAGCTCTAATCTAAACTTGGTATTGGTTTTTCTCGTCATGCATGCAACTGCTCAGTGAGAGATTTATGTCTTCAGCTCTATGTGAATATTCATAGAAAATTCAATAAAAAGTGGCTAGCAATAATGGAAAGACAAATATGCAAATCTTGGATGTGCAGTGAAAGGAGGTTTTGAATATCTTTGGGCCCAGTTACTGGAGAAATGAATATTTCAATAAGAATGGGAAGAAGAAAAGGAAATTCCTGTCCACGCCTCTTTCACGCATTCCTTACTCCAATGTCCTGTGTGGCATTTGGGCTTCATTTCACAGGCAGCATCTAGTCCTAGTGGGCATTTCTGAAGCTACTAGGTATTAGTGCCTGGACAGGGATTCATTTTCTGGCAAGTTAAATGAGTTCCTCTACAGGAAGGGAAAATGATCCCTTCTCTGGATAGTGCTGGAGAAAATTATTACTCAACGAGGTTGTGGAAACAAACCTGCAGTGAGTTCCCACCTTGCCGGATGACCACAGTGTGTTTTTGTAGACTGGCTTTTCCATTCCTGAAATGACTTGTCCTGCCTTTCTCTCCTCCAGTGTCCTGATACAAACTTCCTAAACCAATATATTCAAACAGTCACTCCCATCTTTAACTCTGCCCCACATTTTGCTGCATTTCTCAGCTTCTCTTTAGAGCTCAAAAGCACTCAAGAGTTAATTTATGCTTGCTGTCTTCCTCTTTCTTATTCTCTGGCTTTTGCTTCTGCCACTCCAGTGAACTGTGCTTGTCAAGGTCACCAAGGGCCTCTGTATTGACCACTCTAAAGGACCTTTCTGTGTCCCTCGGTGCTCCTGGCATCACATACACTCTCCTCTACCTGCTCTCTGACCCGGTACTTAGGACCCTGCATGCGCCCAGCTCATATCTTAATTACTGCTTTTCCCTCTCTATCTTCTTTGTTAACTCTGCTCTCTCTACCTGGGTCTCAATACTGCTGCTCTTTGAGGGTCTCAGACCTTCTCCCTTCTCCCAGACACTCTCCCTCCAGGTGATCTCATCCATGGCATGAATAGCAATGGATTAACAACTCTCATAATATATAGCATGAGCTCATGTATCTTGTTGGCTGCTCATTGTGTCCATTCACCAATCCCAAACTTCACATGACTCACACTGAGTTCTGGAGTCCTCCCTGACCCCATTCACATTGCCATGCACACAGTCGCTGCAGCTGGCAACATGGTAAAGTAGTCTTGATTTCTCCTTTTCCTTATCCCATTCCCCACACCTAATGCACTGGAAGTCCGGGGTTCCACCTCTAGCCTGGATTTCCAGACACCACAATCCAGGCCACCATTGTCTCCCATCTGCACGAGTGCAATAGCTTCCTACGTGTTCTCCCAAGTGCTAAGCTCTGCTTTCCTACAACTCTCCACGCAACAACCACAGTGATCTCTAAAGAAGTTAGCTCACATTCTTCTGCTTAAAACCCTTTACCAGATGCCTAGTTCACTTAGAATGAAATCTCTTCTCCTCAGCTGGCCTGCAGACCTGTAGGGTGTGTCTGCCTTACTGTTTTCCACTCAGCCTCCCTGCTCACTCCCTCTCTCATCCCTGTGCAGCCACACGGACCTTCTTTCTGTTTCTTAGATGCACTGAACTCTTTCTCCTCTAGGCTGTTGCACATGCTGTTCCTTCTGCCTGGACACCCTTCCTTAGGCTTCTCAGGAGGTTGGCCCCTTCTTATTTTCAATTCAAGAAAGCCCTTCCGTAGCTCTCTTTTCTAATGCGGCTCCCCACCCCACCTCACCCCATGGTTAGTCTCTATTATGGCAAATAATGATCACACTGAAACTTATGGTCCACTCCTCCCCACCTCTCAATAAAAAAATTGTTAGATGGCCAACTGCATAATAACAGGGGTCATTACTTCTATCTCCATGACCTAGCAAAGTATCTGGCACTTAGTAGGCACTAAATAAATGTTTGTGGAATCAGTTAGGTGTTGTATCTTTGTACACTTAAAATCTGTGGTCACATGAACCTCTCTGTGAGAGGCCCATTATTTCCTGCCAAGTGCTCATGATTCTTAGAAGTGTACACACTAAAGGTCACTTGTATATCTTACAGTGAAACCAAGCAAATTTTTCCGTGGCAGTAACCATGTCCTTGAATGTGTCCGTAGACAGAATACACACATTCTAAAATGAGTCTTCTTTGGATAATTCCAACTTGAAAAGCACACACACATCCTTGCAGGTATTCTGAGAGCCCAGGAGTCGGCTGGAAACGTATCCCTCCAGAATGTACATGGACCTCACATGTAGAGGCTGTTTCAGACAGGAAAGAAAGAGGAAGGAAGTCAAGACTGTCTGAAAATGGAAACTGATAAATCTAGGTGAGGGGAGAACTTCCTTTCTTAAAAAAAGTAAGTATCTCTCACCATTAAAGAAAAAAAGTCTATAAAAGTATTCTTCTGGGGTGGGGTAGAGCAGGGATGAATGAATTTAACAGAATTTTCCTCTTAAGTTTAGAAAAAAAGGAGAAAAATCCTCTTAGAAGTTGGTCCAAACAGCACAAAAAGGAGGAGTCCCTTTGCATGTATCACATAGAACCACGGGAATTTCAATTCAAGAGGAAAAGGAGGCATGGCCTTTGTCACTGACTTTGTCTATCTCTTCTTATTAACACTGTAGATTGATTCCATGTCTTGTGCTGTATTTCTTTTGTTTCCTATCATTTGAACTCAGAAATATTTCCCTCCTCCCTTTGCTAGTCTTGCTTCTTCCACCCATGGCCATCTACCGGAGCCAAGGAAATAGTCCTTAACATCCTTCTTGCTCAGAATACTTGGGGTCGGACTCTGAATATCACTTAGGATTGACAGTGAATTCTGGTCTCAACATCTCAGTGAGCATGTGCTCACACTTTTCAGGAATGTGGTAGTAGCTGTGGATTTCCCAGGCTATCCAGGGGGCAAAAATCAAGTCCATGCAGTAATTTTTATGAGAAGCAATGCCAGTTCTCCCAAAGCCACTCTAAACTCTTTGATCACTAACTAATCCAACCCCCAAGTTCCATGTTCCAGGGAAGTTGTGAGCTTGGATCAGATTTTCTAAGAAAGAAAGGTTGTAATGAGCTCCTTGCTTCCAGCTTGCCAGGTCTATCAACTGGCTGGGATTTTTTTTTTTTTTTTTTTTTTTTTTTTTTTTTGCTATGGACGGTTCTACTGTATGCACAAGTGCAATCTACTTTCCCTGACTACCTGTGCTCCAATCAAGAATAGCTCCATCTTTAGAAGTCAGAATCCAAGCTATCTTTTAAAAAATAAACTATGATATATACGATTGTAATGGTAGATACATGTCTTATACATTTGTCAAAACCTATAGAATGCACCATAGGAAGAGGAACTCCAGTATAAACTACAGACTTTAGTTAATGATCATGTATCTAATACTGTATCAGGACTGGCCATCAGTTGTAACAAATGCACCACACTCATGCCACATGTTAACAAGAGGGGAAACTGTAGAGATGGAATACACTGCAATGCTGCACTTTCTGCTCCATTTTGCTGTAAAACTGCTCTAAAAAGGGAAGTCTATTAATTGCAAAAATTGAAAGTGGTTTCTAATCACTTTGGTTCTCACATCTTTGATGATATCAAAGATTGTCTCATGGAATTAGTGGGAAGTGCTGGAAAATACAGCAGCAGTGAGCCATGGCGAGGCAGGTGAACTTCTTCCTCCGTGGTAATGAGGGGCTGACGCGGCACTGACATCTGGATGCCTCTGATCAAGTTGGACACAGGCAAAGCCCAGCGTAACCGGATCTCTTTTATCAGAACCTCCAGTCTCCAGCTGGAAGGGATTTCTGTCACTCCTGACGTGGTCATTCGCTTGAATTTTCTTAGGCGTCACACACTGTACCGAGGCCGCTCCTGTTTCTGTTATAAGATGTCTTGCGCTGTCACAAGACAAACAGGTTGTCCTTCATCAGCTTGATCCCCATCCTTGCCACACAGTATTTGTATGGATTGTTGGGGCAGCACCTGGGGTTTTCTTTGGCAATGCTTATTTGGCCTGTCTGCAATCTGAATGTTTTGTGCTATTTGATATTCTGCTATCGATTTTTGCTTGACCATGTTCCATCCATTTAAGGATCAGGTCAAAGAGATAACTCATTGTCTGCTGTGGACCCTGACCCTTCTATCCACTTGACCTTTCCAAGTGGTTCTGAAAGGGTCACAAGTCAAGGGACCCCTTTCAAAACTCCAACCACTCGACAGGGAGTGCTGTTAAGTCACAGCACAGCACAGCAGTACCCCAGACAACACACAGGTGCACAATGCCCACCATAAATCCTGCATACAGACAACATGGTGGTGGTGGGGTTCTTCTAGGGGTAGCCTTACAGATCTGGGAAGCCATTCCACTGGGGATGGTACAGGAGACAGCAGCCCAGTCCATGGCTGAGTAAAGACAAAGAGAAGAGAATCTGAGAGCAGGGTAGAACAGGGTGCTGCCTAGCGCCAAGACGAGCCCAACAGCCACAGTGTAAAAGATGTGGAACCCGGACCGGAATTTCTCCGCTGCACTGGGTGCATAGGGTCTCTGTAGATTTGAACTTTGAAATAGCTGATTAGCAAAACAACACCAAGTGCCTGGCAAGAGGGGAGAGGTAAGGACGCTGCTGCTGCTGCGGCGGGGCTCACCGGCTGCACCAGCCTCTCGCCGCGGGCGCGGGGACACCTGTGCCTTCGTGACTTCCAGGGCCACATCGCACCCGTCTGGCTCACAGAGTGCCAGGTCAGCCCAGCGGATCCCTCCCCTGCTCAGGGACTGCAGCTTCACCGTGGCGGGGCCCGGCGGCTGCCTGCTGCGGCCCCACACCCGCGCTCCCTTGCGTCTCAGCGTCTCGCCAGCACCTTTCCTCCCTGCAGGCCTGGCTGCGCGCCCGGTTCCTGACCTGTGTGTTTTTCTCCATGATAGAGGAGGAAGGGTAAATGAGGAGGAAATCCTGAGAAGGAGTCTTCGAAATCCTGAAAAACTGCTGGCAGCGCAGTTCGTGGAAAAGTGGAGCTTGGCCTGGCTGTGACCCCTGCCAGGCTTTGACGTTGGGTGGAGGAGACCAAGGGTGGGGAGGAGCTGCCTGGGGCCTGACCATTGGAGGCAGGGGCTCAGCTGTTTGAGTTCACATGCAGCTCCAAGAGGTGGGAATGGACTTGACTTCATGGGCTTCAAACCTCACGTTCAACATCAGGGGCAACAAGCTGCACGAGAAACGGAAAGGCACTCTCCTGTGAGTCCTGAGGCCACCGCCCGGTGCTCATCTAATCAGATCCGAGCTGTGAAATGCATGGAGCCTAGAGCTATCTTTCTCACTCATCTGCATTTAAAAATAAGCAGTCCAGTGGTTCCGATATTATTTTGAGACTATCTCTTTAACTGAAAAATTATTACTAACAGCAAATATTTTAGGGCATGGTAACTTGCATTTTTCCTGGGTGTCAAATACATGCTGTTTCCTGAAAATCATAAAAAAAAAACTTCCTTTGGCGCTTAATAGCAGTGACATATCCCATTGTCTTGTTTCCACAATGCTTCCCTGTGTTTCATCAACTGTCAGTAGTGAATTCACTGTCCCTTTGACGGTTTCAAATGTGACTTTTAATTAAGCATATTAACCTGATGTATCATCCTTGGAGCAATGACTAAAATAAGATGATATGCATTTTAAGCTTTTGGATGCCTGCAGATCATGAAAAGCACTTTATGAGGCTTGCATTAATGCATATTTCATTATAATGTAATTCTATATTAGATATTCCACTTATGCATAGAGCCAAAATAGTTTCTGCGCTGTAGCGATGCCGATGTAAATGAGTAAATCACAAGGAATGGAGGGAACTTAACTCTTTGTGACTCTGAGTATTGTCCTGTGTATACGGGAATTCTCTGGGGGGCAGGATCGCACCCTCAGTGAACCTGGAGAAGACAACACTGTTTCAGGTGCGACTGGTGATGAAGGGGGAATGCCACATTTCTTCTGCACAACATTAAGTGATTGGGCAAAGCCTGAACTACTCTGGGCTTTCCTTTTCATGTACGCCACACAGGCAGCTGATGGTTTTGCCGCACTGAGCAATCATTAAGGCTAACCTGTAGACACGAGGGTTGGTGGGCATCTTGACTACATAGATAAGCACAGGCGGATGCCATTTGGATGCCTGCATCCCGCATCAGCACGCCTGGGTTCAAGTTCGGGTTCTGTTCCTAATTCCAGATTCCTGCTAATGCACATCCCGGCAGGTGACAGGTAATGGCTAAAACACTCAGGTCTCTACCCCATGTGGGAGACCTGGATTGAGTTCTTGGCTCCTGGTTTCAGGCTGCCTCAGTCATGGCTGTTGCAGGCTTTTTGGGGGAAGTGGGGATGAAACAGTGAAGAGGAGTACTTGCTTGCTCTCTGCTTTTCAAATAAACAAATACACTTGAGAGAGAGAGAGAGAGAGAGCATGTGTATCATCACTGCATAAAGAAACCCTGCAAGCTGGAGGCACGGCCCTCTACAGGGCTGCCATAAAGCATCCTGTGCAGTATCACTAATAGGCCTTTTACAATTTTTATAGCTTCCCGAGTTATTTTTGAGTCAGTGCTAGCATTCAATTATTTCCTGTTGAATAAGGAACAAAACCAGCCTGAAGACTGAAAGGGAAAGCTATAGTGGGGAGCGGGCTTTCCAGATGGAAGTTTTCGGGCAGATTGTGATTTGTGACTCAGAATGAGCCCAGCTTTCTGTGCCATATGGCCGGGAGCAGGGCCTGTAGGCACGGATTCAGTCACTCAGAAGATCCCCCTGAACTCCTACTATGCATTGGTTCCTTCTTGGGCACGGGGAGACAAAGATGAGTAAGCAGTAGTATCTGGAGCAAAGGAGTCCATTCATTTGTTCACTCATTCATTCAGCCAATGTTTCCTGAGCACCCGTGATGGACATCGTTTGCTAGGGGAGCTGAGCATGTAAACATAGAGTAAATCCCCATACGGCATGATCCAATCAGCTATACAGACGGGGGAAGCGCTGTGCAGCTCAGAGGTGGAGAGAGAGACTAAGTATATTCAGAACAGTTGGGAATCTTCACAGAAAGGGAGACATGCAACCTGGAGGACAGAAAGGCAAGGTCATTCCAGGGAAGGGGGAGCAGCGTGAGAACTCACGGGGTTCAGGATTCAGGCTCGGGAGGAAAAGTAAGAAAACAAGTTGTTTGTAGATAGAGCTTCTGGCTCACAGACAGGAAATGCAGCTAGAGAAGTAGCCGTGCACGTCATTTACATCATGTTAAAGCTGGCTTTCTTCTGCATGTTGGGAATGGCAACTCCCGGAGCTCCC